CCCGGGCCCCTCGGCAGGCTCGAGGAGGGGTTCAAGGAGGTCCAGACCCTCAAGGACGCCGTGGCCACCCTGCAGAAGTCCTGCCAGGACTGCAGGTTGCAGGCTGACGAGCACCGAGACGCCCCGTTGCCCCCCAGCCCGGGATCCCCGGGGGAGGACGGCCACCTCCGCGTGCAGGACCTGGAGAGCCAGGTGCACGAGCTGTCCTCCCAGCTGAAGGGCGCCCGCGAGGAGATCGACGTGCTCCACCGACGCCTGGAGAAGCTGAACCTTGTGAACATGAACAACATCGAGAACTACGTCGACAGCAAAGTGGCCAACCTGACCGTTGTGGTCAACAGTTTGGACGGGAAGTGCTCATCCCAGTGCCCCAGCCAAGAACAGATCCAGTCCCGGCCCGGTATGTGGAACAATGTCTCCTTATCATTTGTTCTATAAACATTAACCAGAGCAAGTTAAACACATGATGGGTTAAGCAAATAAGCCTTTTATTGGTTAGAGTTGTCCAGGAAAAACAACTGTCTTCTCAGAGGTGACCACAGAGGTGCTAAAGGACGTAGCTGCGGAAGTCACCATTAGCTTTGCAGCCATTAGGAAGCACTTTGAATTTCAAGACCTCACTTGGCTAACGCTAGACGTACACACAAGCAGCGGCAGAGAGAGGATTTCCTTATGGCTTAGTGCATTTACAGAGTACTTTTTCTCTCTTCCCTGAAGTGTTTAAAAACAGATAAGGCAATTGTTTGCAGTTGTACTTTGTTGGAATCAGTTTTTCTTATGGTTGGCAGACTGCCACTTCTCAGGTAGCAACAAGTGGTCTTTGCAAGATTTGAGCAAGTAATTTGCTAAATAATCATAATCTCAAATACCTGGTGAAAACAGATCACATAGTTGGAATAAAAGCTGCTTTGTGTGTATGCATGCGTGTGTGCAAAACCTTTTGCTTTGAGACCTAGTGGCACAAAAATGTTTTAAGTGGAGAATTTTGGCATGCCTCTGGGGGAAGACGACATTCTTAGCTTTTTACCTTACGCTAGCATTCACACACATAAAAATGGAACCCAGATTACTGAAGTTTAAGACACAAATATTAAAGACTACAGACCTAATGCCTCCTCTGCCCACATGCTACAGGGACCACCGGTCCTTCCTCTTGGCTCCTGGAATCACTGTGGCAGTTACCCTTGGGAAAGCCATTTTGGTCTTAGGGCCTCTGCTTCCCAACAGTGAGGCTGAGGGATGAGGCAGAGGGTGCTGGTTGAACACTGGATCCCAGGTATGCCCCATTCCCGGGGAGCTGTTGACGGCAGGAAGTCACGTTTTCAAGGATCACTGTTGCCAATACTCCTGGGGCAGCTCATATCTGCCTGTCCCCTGCGTGGTGCAGACAGGTTCATGGCTTAGGTGACCCTGCATGACAACTGTAATGACATGAACAATGTCTGCTATTCTTTTTCCTCCTGATAGTTTTGGGGGGAAATTTTGAATTTGAGTTCTAGATACACAAATAGATTTTTGTGCCTTAGAATATCTTCTATTAAGCTTATCCGTCGCTGTTTATAAATATCTGGCACTAAGTGTCTCTTTGATTTCTACAAAACCCCCGTTAATTGATGATGCTTAACCTGAACATAATCACTCGTTTCTTTCTTAGAAACAAATATGTGTAATACTGGCTGAATACTCCCTTCCTGGATAATAAATGTAGAATATTGGTATACTGTTGAAAAGACACTTTTCATTCGAGTTTCTTTAGAGTTGTCAAGTAAAAATAAATGCAGATCTATGACGACTGGGGCTGTACCACCCAACTTTCATACGTTGCTTGGAGCATATTCTATAAAGCACCTAATGTGGAAGCCATAGGCAACTTCAGGTTAAAGGAAACAAGCAAGGCTTCTGCTGTGTGCCTAGAATGTGCATCTAAAGAACTTCAATCTCATACCTGGGAAAACATTGCATAGTTGGAATAAAAGCTGCTGCTTCATGTGTGTGTGTGTGCACACGTGTGTGTGTAAAACCTTTTGCTTTGAGACCTAGTGGCACAGAAATGTTTTAAGTGGAGAATTTTGGGATGCCTCTAGGGGGAGGAAGACACTCTTAGGAGGGCATCTAGGAGGGCGACTGGTGTCAGAATTTTAGGCTGAGGGATGCAGTGATTATGAGAAGAACCTCTGCGGCCACCCAGATCCTAGTCCGGTCCTAGCTCTGCCCCTCCGCACTTGTGTGAACTTGGGGAAAAACCACTGACCCAAGTTTGGGCCTGAATATCCTCACCAGCAAACTGGCAAAACACCTGCACCGTAAGATAGACCGTTGAAGCCATTACCGGTCTTTAGCAGGGAGCCCAGAACATTAAACAGCACTTTTACTTATCTTTTCTTGTTGCCATTTGTAGTCATTACCAATCAAGGGTATGTTAGAGGCCTCTCCACTTTGTAACACTGGCCCGTGTCCTGAGGCTTCCATGACCATTTCCTAACCAGATGTGGGCAAGTGTAGCAGGAAGAGCAGGTCTCCATCAGAGCCCTTCATTAAATGATCAGACTGCCTTTGAGTACATAAAGACTTCGAGAGACCCATGCGTTTCATGAGCAAAACCCAATTCTTTCTTTTCCTCCCTTCAGTTCAACATCTGATATACAAAGACTGTTCCGACTACTACATAATAGGCAGAAGAAGCAGCGAGACCTACAGAGTCACACCGGATCCCAAAAACAGCAGCTTTGAGGTGTTCTGTGACATGGAGACACTGGGCGGGGGCTGGACAGTGCTGCAGGCGCGGCTGGATGGCAGCACCAACTTCACCAGGAGCTGGCGAGAGTACAAGGCAGGCTTTGGGAACCTCCGGCGTGAGTTCTGGCTGGGAAATGATAAGATTCACCTCCTGACCAAGAGCAAGGAGATGATCCTGAGAATAGATCTTGAAGACTTCAGTGGTGTCAAGCTGTACGCTGTGTATGACCAGTTTTACGTGGCTAACGAATTTCTCAAGTACCGTCTACACGTCGGCAATTACAATGGCACCGCCGGGGACGCCCTGCGTTTCAGTAAACACTACAACCATGACCTGAAGTTCTTCACCACCCCGGACAGAGACAATGACCGCTACCCCTCCGGGAACTGCGGGCTGTACTACAGCTCGGGCTGGTGGTTTGATGCTTGTCTTTCCGCAAACTTAAATGGCAAATACTATCACCAGAAATACAGAGGGGTCCGAAATGGGATTTTCTGGGGCACCTGGCCTGGGATGGGGGAGGCACAGCCTGGTGGCTACAAGTCCTCCTTCAAAAGGGTCACAATGATGATTAGACCCAGGCACTTTAAGCCTTAACACCGGTGCTCATTTCTCCAGCATTTACGTCTAATAGCATGATCCACACCTTAGGTGCTTTGCAGTGTGCCTTCTTTCAGATTCCTTCTCCACAGCCAGCAAGTCTTTGAGCATAGGTCATGTGCTCCCTGGCACTTGAAGTAAACCTGAAGATATTCATTTTAAAGACTCCTCTCTGTTGCTGTTAGCCAGTGGATGCTTATAAGCAATGGAAATATTAGAGTCTATTTATAAGCCCTTTGGCTTTCTATTAATTAGAAAGTTCTTTATTATTTGTTCTACTTTCTATTATAAAAATTGATTCTTCAGCATGCTAGAACCTACACAAAGCCGTCTCCATTTCGGCCGTGGTTAAACATGCACATTTGAAAATAGATAACTCTTTTCAGGCTAAAAATGTTTATTTGTATATGTGTCTTAATACTGCAATTTTATTCTGAGATACTCACTCAAATTCATTGCATTTATTTTGGGCCGAGACCACCTTACAGTATTTTAGTTTGCAAATAAAGGAAAATCATATGTAATTAAGCTTGTTCAACACTCACGGAATTTAAAAAATACGTCATTTTTCTGTCATTTATCTGGTACATTTTTAACATTGTAAATTGTGGTAGCATAACGTCACCAACAAAAATATTCAGAAAATAATGTAATCTTGAAAACTGCTTTAAAGTACTTAATCGCCTATAACTTGTTGGGTATCTGATTGTAAAAACCACTTTAAACATAAAAATGTATCTTTCCTTGGCTCGGTTTATAGAATAGTTAATTTGAGATTGCTCACTACTGTGCTAGACTACTAGTCACTTTTACTTTTTAGGGTAGAAATAGTTGGAGAAAGCAGCATTTATTTATACTTTGAAGGCCAATTTTTTACCCAGAGCCTTAATAGCATTGAGTAATACACATGATAGGAAGCCAAGTTTTCTAGAACAAATGAAAACATTTGAAATATATTAAAAGTAGCTCAATATTATATATTTCAATCCTAATGGATTTCTTATTTTACTATCAGAAATTCAAAGATAGGTATTTACTTTTTTAACCAAATGAAGGTACCTGGAAATTTTATAATTTGCTAATTCTGAAATGCTAATATTGTATTGAAATGATTATTAAAAACATTTAATATCACAAGAAGTATTGTTTCAGAAAGAACAGTATTCTGTACAGTTTTTTTGTTTTGCTTTGTTTTTGGTACTGGGGATCAAACTCAGGACCTTGCACTTTCCAGACAGGTCCAGTGCCAGAGCTAAATCCTCAACCCTATTCTGTAGTTTTTAAATGCTCTCAATTTGAAAATTTGAAGTAGCTCATCATACTATAATAATGAGTCGTAGCAACAAGTTTGATCTTTAATTTCTAGTGAATATTTCTAATATATAGTGACCAAGTTTTCAAAATATATTCAAAAAGATGCATTTTTGCCTGTGTTTTGAAAATGATTAAGGGACTGGGCATTGTAGTGCACCCCTATAATCCCAGCACTGGGGAGGCTGAAGCAGGAGGACTGCCGTGAGTTAGAGGCCAACCTGCGCTACACTGAGTTCAAGGCCAGCATGAACTACCTAGTGAGACCCTGTCTCATCTCAAAAACAAAATTATAAAAAGGTGAGTAAGGAGAAGTTTTAGGTAACTATATATTCAAATATTAAATCCTTTAGAAAAGCTTAAGAAGCCAGATAGTCTTTCAAAAATGATTAACACAAGGTTTTCACGAAACTATTATACAAAATAAGTTATTAGGAATATTAAAATATTAGAATAAGTCCAAGAAGAATTAAATGATTAAAATGTAAAATACAGATTTCAAGCCTGTCTATCAGTGGGATACTAAATGTCAATGATAAACCAATTCTGTTTCTCTTCTTTGCTTTTAAAAAGACTAAGGTTGTGATATCACACAATGTATTGGTGTCAGATAAAGGCATATATGTACTAAGCATAGTTACTAATACATATAAGTTTAAATTTCTGTAGTCACAAAATATAGTTCTAAAGAAACATTGCGTATAGAAAGAGTGCCTATTGATTTTAATGGGAACTAGGCAGCTTTTCAGGAGAATTTGGCAAATCATTATGTGAATACTTTGTCTTTGCACATTATTTCAAAGGATCAAAATTTTATTTTCTATTATATACTTTTAATACTCTTTCCTAATTCCTTAACACTGAAATTTCTTTTTGGAATCATTTCCTGTCTTTCATTATAAAATATATTCTAGACTTTGGTAATCTTTAACATGTTGACAGCAGGTTGTATGTGAAGGGCCTTTTGCCTTAACTATTACTAATGTATGATAATGTTCATAAATGTAGGCTGTTTACAAATATACTTTAAGTGTCTTGATTTTATTTTAATTACAACCTCATTTCTAAAAGTTAGCATTTTTAAAAAATGTTGAAACAGTCAGAAATTCAAAGTAGAATTGATTCGCCTATCACTGAGGGGGGGATCAAATTTTACCCAGAAGGAGTGAGAGTAACGCTGCAAATGGATGGTTGGCACGTGCATCTGGCTTTGTTTTGTTTCCAGTACTGGGGAGTTGAAGCCAGGGCCTGTGCACTGAGCTACATTCCTAGCCCTTTTTAATTTATTTTGAGATGGTTCCAAGTTTCTCAAACAGGTCTCAGATTTGCAATCCTTCCGTTTCAGGGTCCCAGAATACTGGGATTGCATCCTAGCTACCCAAGAAAAGGTTTTCAAGGTAAAAGGGATGGGTAATGTCATTGCAATAACCTCTTAAGTTTCCTTTTATGTGTACTTAGGGTTGTTTGGGTTTTTACAACCTTGTAAAGTAAGTTTTAAAAGTTCACACCTATTCTACGTAGAAACTTGGTAAAACAATATCCATGTTTGCTTGTTTGAAAGTGGTATGAATTTTACCTAACGTAGACAATGTCTGAGTCTTTGAAGATGTTAATGGTACCATTTCATTAATAGGAAGAAGCGGGCAAATAGAGGAACACCGGTATCTCCTTTCCCTCCAGAATATTGTGAACACATTTGCAACGTGAAGTTTTCAAGTTCATTTTGTGTCATTCAGCTCCATCGCCTCCTTCCCACTGTTACTGTTCCTGACACGGCTGAGCTCTTGTGATTTCCTTGGGATAAGCTACTACTTCCTGCGGCAGCCTGACCTCCCTCAGTCATTTTCCATACCGCTGTCAGATTACTGAGAAATACACTTCTAATACTTTTCTGTCCTGCTTAGAACTTCCAACAGCCCCTCACTTCCTGTAAGATACATTCCAGCTTGCAGTCCCCTTCAGGAACCGATTTCTGCCTAAGCACCCAGCGCCTCGCCGTGCAGGACCAAGTCTCATGTTTTTACTGCTCTGCAGACTGCCCGAGTCTAGATACAATGCCGTCCTTGCTACCCCTGGGTCTTGCCAGGCTTCCAAGTTTGCATTTCCACCCCACCATTTGCAAGTTGCGTGATCATACTCGTCACTTAAACTCCATGTTCTTTGGTCCCGTCAATTGCAACGCAGGGTAATCTGGTAGATTTCCCGGGAGGATTAAGTGAGCTAACAGAGCACCTAAAGCATACAT